CCCCCAGGGAAGGTGGAGCCCGGGGCCGCCGTGCTCGGGGCCTGAGTGTGGCTCAGAGCTTTGCCCAAGCCAAGGCGGCTCTGGGCTTGCCGTGGAGGCAGCTGGCGCCCGGCTCTCAGAGCCTCGCTCGGTGGCAGTGGCACGTTTCGGCGACTGGCTGAACCTAGCCCTGGGCGGGGCTAAGGGGCGACTGGAACCGGTGGGATTGCTGTCTAGGCCCCGGCATCCTCCCTGGGAGGGTTCCCCTCTGGTGTGAGGTTAGGCCGCTCAGTGCCCCTGCAGCCTCTGGAACAGGCAGTGGGGCTGTGAATTCCTCAGCGCATCAGCGTCTTCCCTGAGCCCGGCCTAGCCCCAGCTCTGCTGTGTGGGCGGCTGAGGAGCAGCCGGACTCGCCTGCGCAGGGCCTGCCGTGGGGTGGTAACTCCTTAGCTCCCCCGGGTTCTTGGTATAGAGAGCCCCTGGGCCGCCCCGAGCAGTCTCCTGGCACCTACGTCCATGGAGCAGGAACTCGCGTCTCGTCATAAAACTTGACATTTAATTGTTATTGCCTACATGGGACGTGGGGCCGGCCGGGGAGATGGAACCCCCCCTCCATAGCCAGGACGTCTGGGAAAAGCCGGGTTGGCAGGGCGGATGCTGAGCGAACCAGCCACCCCCCTCCTCCCCGATGGGCACGGTATCAGCCGTGGTGTTGTTCAGCAACCCCTGGCGATGCTGCCCCGAGGCTCCCTGTGCAGGGCCCCATTCCACGCGGGTGCTGCTGTTTGTGCTGCCATGGTGGGTGTGAGCGCAGTGCAGTGGCGTGCGGGGTGCCTCGCACGTCTGGATTTCCAAATGCCTGAGTCCAGCCCCGACAGCCACGGGCTGCAGCTTCATGCTGGTCACTTGCTGGCAGCCTTGCTGAGAGGGGACGTGGAGATAGCTGGGGAAAATGTCAGGGAGAAAGGGGCAGTTGGTAGGAAGGACTTTCCCTCACAGGTTGTGGAAAACTGATAAGGGAAGCTAAGGGACACGAGGAGAAAGCTGTGGCCTCTGAGTTAAGGACCATACGGAGTTCTTGAAATCTATTCGGACCCAAAGAATCCCCGTCACGGTGTTGCTGTTTTCCTAGATGGAGTGGTAGATTCAGTAATAATCCGGACGAGGCAGACGTGATCAGGAAATATTCCTGTTCTGAGTAGGGAAGAAGTGAGCGAGACTTGCCCTGTGTGGTACTGCTGCTCTTGCCAGTCTGTTAACGCCTCTGGCTGGTAGTAGCCAGAAGCCACTAGTTAGGCATTTTTAAATCCGCACGTGAGGTAACTGCACCCAGGAGCTTGGAGAGAGCAGGCCAAGGAGCTTGCTGGACTGTTAACGTTGATTTTCAATTGGGCTTGGCCCGTTGGGGGGGCTCCAGAAGTCTGGAAGAAAGCAAACGTTATGGCACTTTGAAAGGCTGGCGAATGGGGAGAGCCAGCTAATTACAGGCTTCGCAGCCTGACCTCGGCCTCAGAGCAGGACACACGACGGCGGGGCTCAGCAAAGGGCAGACAACCGGCCTGGGAGCAGAGACTTGACGTGCTGAGGCTGCGTAGGTCCCCGAAGGGCAGGCTGGGGGGCACTTCGGTCGAGAAGTGCCCGTGGGAGGGGCCCGTTAATGGGAGGACGCTGAACCATGGCTGGCGGCTGGAAAGGGGAGCCAGACACGTGCAGACCGGACTGAAGCATAAATGTTTTCTCAGGGAGGGTGACTGACCGTTGGGCCATGCTGCCGCGTGCGTGGCGGGTTCTCCAGCGTGTTTCAGAAAGCTCTGCTCCAGGGATCGTCTGGGGAAGCCCCTAGCCCCGTTAGCTAGGAGGTGGGCTGCTCACCGGGCTCTTCCAGCCTAGGGAGCCAGAGGCGGCTTGGCAGTCCTGTTGGGGCCCTGGCTGAGGGGCTGAGCGCTTTGCCGGCCTTCGTTTGGCTCTGGGTTTTCTCACCCTGAGAAGTGACTTGCCCAAGTTCGTGAGGCGACTCGGTGGCAGAGCTGGGAATAGAAGCCAGTGACCTAGGCCCCTGCTCCACTCACTGCACTACAGCTGTGATCCGCCGACTGCATTCTCCAAAGTGTCTGCTCTCTCCTCCACCTCTCCCCTGAATCCCACATCTCTTCCGCTCGGGCTCTGCCAGGAAGGTCGCTGCAGAGTGCGTGGCCCTGGGACGGACCGTTCTAGGAACACAGCCCCCACGACGGAAAACGAGGGTGGTCCCCGGCGTGTTCCTGGGAACACGCTGCACCCGTGCCTGGAAGCAGCCAGGTGCCTGGGGGGCGGGCGGGATGGGCCCGATGTGCAGCTTGCCTCTGGCTGGGGAGGGGAGCGCTAATTGTCGCGCCGGGGCTGAGCCGGGGATGGCGGGAATGGAACGGACACCCCAGACGATTACGTCGAGCCGCGTGAGTAGCGTTCTGCTCCCTGTCGTGCCCTTGCAGGTGGGGACGTGACGGCGAAGAACATCTGGCTGGCAGAGAACGTCCTTGAGATACTGACTGAGCAAAGGTACGGCGCGGCGAGGGCGCAGGCTGGCCTGCCGCGAGGGGAGCAGGAGAGCTCCCTGCGTGCGCGGGGCGGGGCGGGGCCGGCGCGGGGAGGGAGCAGGCTGGCCTGCCGCGAGGGGAGCAGGAGAGCTCCCTGCGTGCGCGGGGCGGGGCGGGGCGGCGCACTGGGGATCTGGTCAAAGCATAATGTGGCTTTGTCTTGTGTCCATGGCAGGGGG